TTTCAGGGGCAGCTTTGGCTCATGAGAAGCAAATCTACAACGGTGACTGAAAAGTTCAAACACTGATACCTGTCATTCATCTTCAGGTTCATAAGGAGGCTGAGGAGGAGAAAGCAAGTGTTTTGAAAGAAGAGATGCTGTCTCTCTCAGGACACATTGAGTCCATGCAAAGTTCCATTCAGGTTAGTGTGTTGACCTAAACAACACAGCAACTTAGTAGAAATTACACTGCATTGCCTCACCTGTGTTACTCTCTTGGTTACTACAATATACAGTGTGTAAAAATATCACTTTTCAGATGTGCTTCTTTCCAATTCTTGCAGCTTAAAGAAGAGGAAGTCATTCAGCTGAGGAAATCTCTGCAGCAGCAGAGGGAGGAGGCAGAGACACGAGAAAAGGAGTTGCATGTAGACACCTTGGAAAAGGTACTCTCGTAATCCGCTGCCAGATATATGCGAGCTATTTCAACACGATTCCATTACATGCATGGTATGCTCCATTTCAGGTACACAAAGCTGTAGAGGAAGAGAGGAGGAAGCATGAGGCTGAAAAAGTGGAGGCAGTGCAGGTTCACTGTGGGATACTGGAAGCGCAGCACAGCAGAAGCTTGGAAAGTCTGAGGAGTGAAATGCAGCAAGAGAAGAGTAAAGCACTGGTTCTTCAACATCAAGTAGTGGAACTAAAAACAGTAAGGTGACCCACAACCATGACATGTAAAAGTACCAACATAAACAAATCTGAAAACATTTCCATGCTGTTTTTGAATGATTTTTTTTTTTTGTCTCTAAGAGAGTGCAGGAGTTAGAGAATGAAAGCTGTGCACAGCAGAGAGAGCAAGAGTCTTTGTTAGCTGTGATTTGCAAATCTCTGAAAGAGGAGCACCAGGCTGAGCTCCAGCGATCACAGAGACATATGGCAAAGGTGCAGGAAAACCACAGAAAGCAGACATTTGCAGACACGTGAAGGGATGTGGAGTTATAGAAAGCTGACACGGTGTGGTTTGTGGTTACAGCAGAGTCAGAGGACAGTGCTGCGCCTTGAGCAGGATGTTCAGCTGGCAGTGAAAGAGACTGACAGGCTCCGAGTGATGCTGGAGGAACAGGAGAGCAGCCATAAGCGAATCACAGCTGAGATGGAACAGCGACTCAGACACTGGGCCCAGCAGCTGGGAGCAGAGTGCCTGCATCTACACCGCTTGGTGGAAAAAAGTGGAGCCAAACCAAGTGCTGGGAAACTATCTCCCAGGTATAATTTTCTGCTCTGACTTCCATACATATCTGGTTTAGAAAGAAGTGAATACTTTGTAAACACCATGAGGTGTTTGATGATTACCTTCTCATAGTGCTGTCTTTATATTCTGCAGTCTTACAGTCTCTGAGGCTGTAACAGACCTGAAAACACTACGAGAGCAGCTGAAGCACTTTATTAGCCATCTACACCAGGAGCTGAAATCACAGAAACAAACCAACGAGGAGCTGAGAAAAGACAAGGTATAATTTGAACTTTGCCTACAGCACGTTACATGCATTCAGTAATACATGTCTGGAAATCCATATTTTTTTCAGGAGCGAGAACTGAGCATCCAGAGGCACCAGCTGAGGATGGAGAGAGATCAAGCCTTGAACGCTATAAAGGAACGTCTCATTCAGGTACACACTTTGTGTAGCTCACGTCAGTACAAAAAGACTAAAGCACGTCAATTACATCATCACAGAAATGTGGTTCTCTGTGACATTGGTGCAGGAACACATTGAGGAGCTGAGCAGTCTGAAATGGGCTCATTTGACTGATGGAGGAGCTGAGGGAGGAGGAGGAGGAGGAGGAGTGGCAGCATCTCTCCGCAAGCAACTGAAGGCCAAAGACCTGGAGCTCAGGCAGGTTCAGAGGAACATGGCTGAATGGAAGGAGCAGACTGCAGCTCGCCTGGCGTGCAAGTTCGAGGAAGAATTGACAGTTGAACTTGAAAGGTAACATCCTCAACACGAAAACTGAATCCTCCAAGCTGAGTCAAAATGCAGCCACGTAATGTCTGTTCTATGTAGGAAGCAATTGTTTTTCTGCTATACTTGGATCTTATTGATCCAGACAACTGAAACCAAACATTATGCTCCTACAGGTGCAAAGCAAAGTTGTTAAGGGGCAGGTAACTCATTTCTGACTGTGAAAAATAGATGACATACTAACAGCTGTCTGTGCTTAATAGAGCATGATCTCACCTCAACTCACCGTCATAGGCTGTTTAGACCATAGATGTGACATGCAAACACCTCTTTGTGTTAATTATTCACCTAACAAGCTTTCTAATGCAGGTTTGGTTGTTTTCCAGAAAAGCATCAAAGACTGAAGAGGAGAGGCAGAGGAAGCCTGAGCAGTGTGAAGGAGAATTGATGTTTGTTGCAAAGGTATATGTTCTGCTGTTCATATGTGAGCAGCAACGTCAAGTACTTTTATGTAGATACTAAACATGTTGTTGTGTACATATTGTTCATTTTTTGGGGGAAATATCTCTTCTGGTGCTTTCTCCCATCAGCAAACTCAGAAATCAGTTTGTTCTGCCTCCGTCCATGCTGTGGACTCTGCTGCCTCCCACAGCCCCTCAGACGTGACTTCATTTAAGCTTCTACGTTACCTCCAGAGCAGAGTGAAGCAGCTCCGTGTAGAAAACCAGGCCTACACGTGGAGCCCACCTCCTCCATTTAGAATCCTGTCAGATTTGTCAGGATCCTATCTTACAACAGTGAGTACATTCTTTTTAGTAGCAGGTTAGTGTTGATAACTGACTTGTCTCTCTGTCAGTGTAACCATGAGCTGCATTTAAGGTCAAGTTTTCCTGTTAAGGTTTTATAATATGTGTAATCATCCAAGAAGTGTATGTATTGAAGAAAGCCACAAAAATGTCATTATATAACTTCATGTCATAATTAACCCTGAACAAGACTAAAATGCTTTAAAAGATCTTTTCACAGATGTTCACATTTCCTGTTGAAAAAATGAAAGCAGCACATTGTAAAGCAAAATGTAAGATACGTAGATAATCAGGAATTTGTTAGGAACATTTCCAGAGGATGCTGCTGTACTGCCCTGACATTCCCAAAGATTATGTAAGTAATAGATTAGAATGGCAATATTTAATTACATTTATAAATAACAACTGCCATCGTTACCAAGCATCACCAAAGGAGGAAAAAAAAGCATCAAAGTATCTGCTTCTGCTCTGTAAGACACTTTGATTGAAAAGTATTTGTGTTAAAAGAAATCACAAATTACTTCTAAAACTGTTAAAGACAAGACAAATCCTGCTGTAATGGAAGCAGCGTTGTAAACTTTTGAATATGTTTTCTGAGCTTGTTTTAACAGCGAGTCTCCTTCACAGATACCTCAGGGTCAAGACAGTACCAGTACTCTAGGCCAATCATCAATCAGGACAGTGAGTCAGTGCACCACCAGTGATGTAATGCTGTTAAAACCTCAAAAGGTTCCTAAAAGTCTGTGTTCTGTGGCCACGGAAATGAATCATTCACTGGTCCATGTGCTTGAGATAGCAGATTAACAAGCAGGTCACGGTGACACAGTGCAGTCTTTAAGTTCACATTCCTGTGTGTTAAGGCAGTCAGATTTTATGGTTGCACAGTGAACTGTGAGTGAATGATGACCTGACGTTTTTCTGGAAACTGAGGATCATGTGAGTTGTGTCAAATAGCCTCATAAAGCTGGCAGGTCATTGAGGGAATCCCTTCTGGGTCCATGAACATTCAGTGCTTCTCATCTGACCCTTTCAGAATCAGCTGATTTTTTTTTGTACAATAACTTACATTGTATAGTATATATAATGGAAGTATATTTTGAGTTACAAGCCCTCTACATACATAGGGGTGGGTCAAAATTCCATGCTTTTAGTTCGCCATATTTCATCTGGCATTTTTGAGCCCTCATATCTTCTTAAGTGCAGGAAATAGACGCATGAAATTTTCAGGGATAAAAACACTCCATTGACTCCATTAAAAACTGCAACCAAATCAGTTTTACACCCACTCCAGGTGCCACAGTCTAAAGCCAAAATCTCTTTTTGCATCAATATCATATTTTTTTTCAGCCCTGCAAATTTGAATCAGGACTCAACAGATTAAACAGACATGAACAAATGTTTATATGCACTTGTACAGATGATGCATATCAAGACAGCAGTAAGTTCCAATGATTTCTAGGACTCTCCATTTTCTGATGGAATCATTGAAACACAGGAATCTTTGTTTTTTTTTTCATGTGGCTACCTCATGTACAAGTTATGAGGGCTCAAAAACCACAACACAAAAATTTAAATCCTATGTACTTTGAGGGCCATTAACACAGAATATATTCATAATTTGAAAGTAAAATGTTGCGTGGCTTAATGAAGTATACTTACGTTATTGTATTTGGTTGATTTTATATGGAATGACCCTCC